GATAAGATAACAGCTAAGAATCTCAATGAGAAGGATCCAACAAGGAATTTAGTGTTGAACAATGGATTAAAGTCTAGCGAACTGGATGATAATTGGACGCGAAGGAACATCTTTGGGATGAACAACAGCAATCAATGGAAACATGTTAGGTTAGTCAACAATAACACATTTTGAATATTCTAGTGGTCATAAAGAAAAGAGCTTTGACAAGGCTCCGCGAAAAACCTGAAAACCTTGAGTACATGTTTTATTATATGCATGTGAAGTTTGGGGTCCTAGTATTTTAGGTAAAGTGAAAAGTCTAGATGTTTTTAAACAGAAAATGTTTGATTTTAGTTCAGACATAGAAAAACTTCACTTGGGATTTTGTAAATGAATATTGGGTGTTCCTACTAAGGCGGTAGATATATCAATTTATGTCGAATTGGGTAGAGCTCCATTAATGTTGCAAATCTCTAGTTTACCGGTAGTAATAAAATACTGGTTAAGAATTAAAGATACTGAGTATAGTGAATCTTTGGTTGGCAAAGCTGCAAAGTTTTGTTTAGAAAAGAAAACATAAGAGGTAGCTTTTATTGAATATGCCCTGGAAATAATCTGGAAGTAATCTTACATGCCTTGAAAGTAATAGACTCACACAGGGCTCAAAATAACGGCCAGTCAAAGGACAATGTCCTTCAAAATTCACTAGATGACCAGCCAAATCGGGTTTTGAAAGGCCATTTTTAGCTGTCACATTTTTAGACAAATCAATTCTCAATTCCCTAAATAAAGTTTTACAAATTTATTAATGAAATTTTTACAAATTTATTAATGAATTTGGAAGGAGATCTTGTCCTGCATATGTCTGGACGTTATTTCGAGCCCTGCTCACATAGCAAAGAGGTTATAAATATTGATGCTTTGACTATTGTAACTTGTATTTTAGCCTGTTAAACTCCTTCATAATGGAGCCACCCCAGCATGTATCTTCCAGTGTGTGGGCTATGAAATTATTGGAGTCAGAAACAACTCCTACAATGAACCCACAGCTGCTTCTCAAAGCGAGGCTCTTTAGACGTTGGCATCAAAGAGCGCGTTTACAGAGACTTGATAGAATTGAATATGAAAATAAGATGAACAAGTAAGCTGCTAAATGAACAATATATTATAATAGTCTCCTTCACGGTTACCTGCGCCATCTTGAAAGGTAGCCGTGCCTTGTCATCGAAGCGAGACAACCGTTGAGCGTGCAATGATAGAAACCTTCTTTCACACTTATAGACAATTATTCACAGGTGTCTATCATTGCACGCTCAACGGTTGTCTCGCTTCGATGCAAAGGCACGGCTACCTTTCAAGATGGCGCAGATATCCGTGAAGGAGACTATTGCCGTAAAGCACTGATGTACATTTAGTGGGGCAGAATACACCTTTTCAGTTACACTTAGGCCTCGATAGCAAGTTAATTATTCTTTTGAATTTGACAAATGAGACTATTCATATCAATGTGTGCATTACTCACATTACTACAAATTCAAAAGCATATTTTAACACTGTCGAGGCCTAAGAGCAACTGAAAAGGTGTATTGTAACACTGAAACACTTCAAGTGGGATAGAATTGTCTTAAACAATAGAAATTTTTACTATTTGAAATCTTTCTCAAAATTTGTCAACTATTACTCATTTTCAAATTCAAACTGAACAACCGCTGCTTCGGTCCATTTCTTTGTGTAAGAGAATCTGCTGTCAAAAAAGCAGTGGTTATTCTCTTTGAATTCAAAAATGGAGTATTGTCTGACAGTTATCAGTTATAACTTTATGTATTGATGAATCTCTATCTTTATTATAGCATTTGGTTGTCATTTGTCTTTTCTCTGTTCACTAGAAAAAGTTGTCATTTTCCTTTTTTTTTTTTGCAATTCTGTCACCCTCTAGTGATCATAATACAGTACTTAGCATTAGAATAAGAACAAAGTCTTGATGTGATATCATAGTGTTATTCAGTGATAAAGTGATGTTATAGTATAGCCACTCTCAATTGCTAATAAACATTTTGTGTTTGACATAGGGCTGTTGAATTTTGGCGTAACAGTACCATCCAGAAACATTTCTCTGCCTGGAAAAGGAACAAAATGRACCAGATGTCCAAGGCAGATAAGATTTATCAACGGCATATGTTAGAGACAGGTCTTAAGGGCCTTAAGTTCGCAGTGCAGGTCAGTAGTCATGCCTCTAGTGATGTTAGAAAGAGAATGAACAGCAAAGTCTTGGCAAAATTTTGGCTGAAGGTAGGTTTCTTCTTTTTTGATTGATTCATTGAATGATTGATTTCCTAATTGATTGTCTGATTGATTGGCTGCCTGATTGAATGTTTAACTGACTGTATTCTTGATACGCAAGGAGTATCGTCTTAAACGTCAGTATTAAATTGTTTCACCTATTTTTCACAGTGTTAAATTTATCTTTTTACACAACTGTTTCTTTAGAAACACCAATGCAGATCACACTAGTTTACTGCTAGTTTCCACCATTTTGACTATATTCTTGATTGAATGTTGGATTGATTGATTGATTGATTGATTTACAGATTGATGGGTGGACTTGTGATTGAACAGTTTTTTGTTTTTTAATACAATAATTCGATTTTGATAATTATAATTTTCAGTGGCAAAGTCAGTTGGCAAAAAAGAAGTCTGAGAATCTTCGTACAGCATTCAATAGATGGCGAGTGTTTCATCTAGCAGGCAATAGGTATGTTCCATTTATTCATCCATCCATCCATTCTTTCCTTTTTTATTCATTCATTTATTCATTATTTCATTGTTTCATGCATGCATCCATCTATTCTTCCATAAATTCATTAACTCTTCAATTCATCTATGAATCCTTTCTTTTGCCCATTCATTCATTTATTCATTTCAATATTTTATTTGTTTGGCCGTTCATCATTTCATGAACCTATCCATTCATCCCATGCAATCATTTAAAATTCATTTATCTATATATTCATCAATCGTTTCATTTGTTCATTTTCCCATCCATCCATCTTTTTCCTGTTATTCACTTATCCATCTCCTCTGAATTATTTTCTCATTTTCATTAACCTATGTCATATTATAAATGGAAACATTTGTCAATCTTTCCATTCACAAGTATTCATTGATTGATTCATATCTTAAGGGATAAGATTCTCGAAGGAATTGCCGACAAACACTTCATGACCAAGAGTTATATAAAGTGGAAGATGAGATATTCTGTTGAACAGAACAAYAGCATAGCAAAGTTGAACTTCCAGTAAGTATATTACACACTTTTATAGACTGAGTCATTTTCATTTGACCTTATTGAGATATGCAAAATACAAAAATTTGGTATAAATCGATTGTTAAATAGTGAACAAGTTATTTTGCATTTCTCAAAAAGATCTTTCTTTCCATTTAAGTCTTATCTCATTATTATGTAATTAGGGGATTTTGCCCAGTGCGCACTTGGTTTGAAACTCGGCAATGGCACTTAAAATTTGACTTTGCTTAAACCTGGATCATGATGCTCTGTTTTCTTTATTAATACGTTCTTTTAGGATAACAGTAATAACCAAGTGTTGGCATTCATGGAGAATCTATGCTGCTCAAAGAATTGTCAAAACAAGGACTAATGAAGTTGCAAGGTATGAATACAAAATTGTAAGTGGCATTTTCTACTGGCTGAGGAATGAAAGAAAGGGAAAATGTTTCTCTCACACCACAGGCAGGAGGCCTTAKTCACATGGGCTTAGTCATTTGATTTATATTTTTTAGAATACATCATGAGAATTATCTTCAAGCACACATGTTTAAAGTATGGTTAGAGAAACGCAAGAGATGCTCAGTTGCCAGCAATCTTTTAAAGTAAGCCTGGAATGAATTGATAAGTTTGTAAATGAGAGCATTTTTGGTAGCAAAGCTAGACGAGTGCTGTTGTTATTTCAGGAGAAGAATTATAGTCAAAGCATTTTAYTCATGGAGAAACTGGACTCAATATGCAAAGTAGGAAAGCTCTTTACTCATCTGTTCGGATCCWCACTCTTTACATCCAGTCTTTTTCTCATCCCTCCCTTCCCTTTCCTTTTTCCCTTCTTTTGTTCCTTCTTTTCTCCTTGTCTCTCGCTTCTTCCATTGCTCTGGTCTTCTTAAGCTTCTTTTAGTTCTCCACTTTATTTTTAATTGCTTAGCTTCCTTCCTATCATCCACCTTTGTCCTCTTTTACCATTTTTTCATTTTTCATTTTTCATTTTTTTTCTTTTTTCATTTCTTTTTTCATTTTCCATTTGTCCATTTTTCCTTCTTTCATAATTCCTTTCAAACSTCAGCTTTTGTTTCATTCCTTTCTCATTTTCATTCATCCTATTTTTTTTCTTCCTCATTTCCTTTCTCTGGTCCTTCTTTGTTTTATTCCTTCATTCATTTTATTCTTTACTCCCTTTATTTCCCTTTATTCTTGCTTAATTCTTTTTCTTTGTTTCATCCCACTCTCTTTCCTCCTCTCTCTCTACATCTCTTTCAACCTCCATTTCCTTCATGCTTCATATTTGTTTTTATATTGCACCCATATTTATATCCAATCATAACATACATTTGTGTCTTCTAGAGTCATTCACCAGAGATTCCAAAGTATGTGTAAAGAGTACTATAACAGAGCTCTCTTAAAACAAAGCTTTGTGAARTGGAAACAGAAGCTAATGTTACAGCAAGCTGTTTCCTATCATAGCAAGCTATTGCAAAAGTAAGAGGAGATAGCATGAGTATTTTAAGGGGGGAGAGGTAGGGGTGTTCAAAGAGGTCTCTATAAACACCCCTCCCCCTCCCCCTGGAAATCCTTTACAGTTCATTTTAAACTTATACCTCTKCATTGATGTTTTCTTTGAGTTTTTGACAATGAATCACTCACCTATATCCATAACCTATCTCCATAACATTGAATATTTCATATGCCGGAAAAATTTGAGGGCTGTGATTGAGRGACATCCCATGACTAATTATTCTAGCCCACCCCACTTTCCCCGACAAACATAATTCATACACTACAATATTTTATTAACAAGTTGTTTTGGTTGGCAGGAGAGTCTATCGTCTTTGGTTTTTAAGATATAAAAGAAATGTTATTCATAGACATCTTTGTAAAGCAATGGCGAAGAAGGTAACGCTTTTTCATTGATGAGAGTTTTGAGTCTTGTACTGTAGTGTTTCGGGTTACCTATGTAATCACGTGACAAGAACGTTGAGTAAACGTGTGTTCAAGCGACTAGTGTGTTGTGTAGTTTGTATCCTTTGTGGAACAGTTTTATAGCCTTAGTGGCACATTACATGTACTGCAGTTTAACACTTTAATAAAATCTTTTGGGGATCTCTTTTACGCTGTGTTAGCCTCAAAACCATGTAATAAATTCCTTTATTCACTAACAGCCCGTGCAAATTAATGCAAGAGATTCAAGAATATAGAATGGAAATAGTTGGAAAATTCAAAAGTTTTATCAAAATTTCTGAATATTTTGCACACAACTGAGGCTAACACAGCGTAAAAGAGATCACAAATTAAATCTCAACTATTTTTCTATCTTATTGTTGTAGGGTAAAAAGCGTCGTTTTTTCAAGAAATGGTTAAATGCTACTGACTCTCAGCGTGAAAAAAGAGAAATCTTTATTGGGATTATCCACAAGTTATTATTATCAAAAATGATGATGCAATGGAAAAGTCACACAAATGTGAACATTTCTCTTAAGTAGGTCACCAACTATGCTCTATTTTTGTAACATAAGATAACAATAATTATAGTGTAATATAGCATATCATTGGTGTATAGAGTATGTCATTAAGCTTATTAAGAATGGCTGATAAGTTTTTTCATGTTATCTTTTACATATCTTTGCCATATCTTAAAGTTATTTTGGTACAGCTAAGTTGCTTTCAGGGTTCTCAATAGTTCAATAACTAAAACTTAAATATTTTATAATATATCAGCAAAAAGGCATGTTTATTACTATATCGTATATTTAATCATATTGAATGCATATGTCTTACAGTATTTATGTTATATCTTATAAATAGASAGCGGTTTGAATTCCTAATGCGCAAGAAAGATGTCAAGAGAACAAGAATCAGTATGGAGAAATGGTTGTTTGCAATGAAGGTGGCTAACTTCAAGAAACAGGCCAAGATAAACTGGACAAACCGTTGTGTCAAGTAAGACAACTTTTAATTTTCTTTTCTGCTTCTTGTACAATAATTATAAATAAGAAAAGAAATCTGGTACAACAGGGATAAATTGCACTATCCACAGGGCCAGGATAAAACTCTTCTTAGAGAATAAAATCTACTAAAAATCTGGGCAAAGGATACCTTTTTTGGTGAACAAATGTCACCCTTGCACAACTTGCTCCAAAAGATAAGGGAGTTAACTAAATGTGAAGGAGGGTGTCCTTACTCTAGGTAGTGGCGCTATTAATATCTTCTTTTTTGGAGAATGAAAGCAAAAAAGTTAGTCCTTCTACCAAATCATCACACTTGACATACATGTAATGTTTATGTTTATAGAAATGCATGCGTCGAATGGAAACTTCTTGTGAAGAGAAAAGCCTTAGAAAAAACCTTGATTGAAACCAGGCCAGCAAGAGATCTTTGGCTAATGAGAGGTTATTATCAATGATTTTAAAATTCTCATGAACATTCAACATTGCAAAATATTATTAACATACTGTGTGATCATTCCYATATTTATATTAACATTCTGTATCATATTTCTGAGATTTATATAATCACCATAGCAAAAGA